ACATCGGAAGATTGTAAAGAATAATGATCTATAGAAACTATTAAACACTATTGACTCAATTAATTATCATGATTTAAATGATTTGAACATCATAAAACTCTCATGTGCAATGCATGCATAACTTGTCTCATGTTACAAAGAAAATACCATAATTTTGGGTTTTTCCTACCTATAATTTATTTTGCAGAATCTTCTGCTAGCGAAACTTTACTGAGCCTGCTTGGCAAAGATTTGGCACAGTCATTTGCAATTTTCTTTCTTCTTTTTTGGCGTAGTTGCGACCTCAAGAGAACTATCCTTGCCACTTCTTTTTGCATATTGGATTTGGTTTTGCCATAATTTGTGGTAACATTTTCTTCCAAATAGATTCCTTGGTCATCGTTCCTTCTGCTGCAGCTATTTGCTATTTCCCTAACACTAGCCTTCTCGAAAACCATGGTATATAGTTTTGAATATACAGAACTAATGTACAAGAAGATTTGCCAGAGATGGGTATGGAAGGACTAATGGTGATTTAAAGCATGGTATTTGATGGAATCATGGTTATGAAGGCAAAGGAGTTCCGTGAAGGCTTGAAGCAATCTTGAGATTTCCAAGAGGAATCTCATCAGTATTAATTTGTGACATTAGGCTACCAAGGGAATTGGATAAGAACCAATTAAGTTTATGGGGTGCAAAAAGAATAACTTGTAAAAGTTCATTACCACTTGAATAAGATTATATGCTGCCTTACATATTAAGAAACTGAATTCAACCATGGCTGGTAGCATTTGGCGATGAATCATATCATTTTTGAAGATAGCCTCTAGAATGAGAGAAGATGCATCGTAGATCTTTTATTCTTATTCTTACTGTATGCATGGTCGCAAGAATAATAATAGACCACTTGATAAAAATTAAAGGAATACTTTTTTTTTAGATGTAAATAATTTTAGATGAAAAGGAACTCACTAACATATGCATGTTAGATATGAGTAAGTTGAACTAGAATTTCTTGAACAATTTGTTTTTTAATTCAAGTTTTATAGATGAAAAAATGTGATTTAGAATTTTTTTAACTAAATGTAACTAATCAAACTTTTTATTTTTCCACAAAATTAGTGGATATTTTGTACGAATAATAAAATATCCAAAAATAATTCAAACTTTTGCAATATTAAGAGATTTTTTTATTATTGTATTTTAAATAAATAAAAATTGATATTGACAATACTTGATAAAGATAAATTTAAATATTTGTAATCATAAGAAACTTCTAACTTATTGACAATTTTTATAATTTTGAAATAAGGATTTTGTAACAAGTCCCACATCGGGGAGGTCTCCTCACCAAGGAGTCCTTATAAGGCGGGAGGTTCTCCAACCTCTTGGGCCGGCTTTTGAGGGATGGTTCCCCTCCTTAGCCTTATGCTCGTTACAATGGTGCTTTCATTGAGAGCCAGCCAAATCGAGAAGGGCTACCCACGGAGGGTTCTGACAAGGCCGAGTGAAGTGCCGGTGAGTGAAGTACCGTGGAGTGCAGCCATCGAGGACGCTGGCTTTCGAAGGTTGTAAAACAAGTCCCACATCGGGGAGGTCTCCTCACCAAGGAGTCCTTATAAGACGGGAGGTTCTCCAACCTCTTGGGCGGCTTTTGAAGGATGGTTCCCCTCCTTTGCCTTATGCTCGTTACAGATTTCAATAAAAAGAAAACTATATGAAGAAAAAGAGAGTGAGTGAAAATTTTTATAGTTTAGTGATTGCCGTCAAACTCAATCTCAAAACTCAAAAGAGATAAGAGCGAATTTATTGAGTGAACAAAAATAAAGTGAGAGTTTCATCTTTGAAATGATGCATTTTAATTTATATAGAAAGTAAATATATTAACAATGCAGATTTTTTTAATATCGTTGTCATATTTCCGTTATCAATTCACTCGTTTGATATTTAGCAACACTTTTCGTCCATTATCTGCAATTTCCACCGCGTAAAAGCACTTTCTTCAATTTTGTACTAACGCTCGCCACTTTAAGCCTTCGTCAATTGCAAAGAATATATATTAAGCTCCAGAGAATAAGGATAAACCGTCCATCTTATATTGCTTTACCCCAAATCTGAATCAAAGAATCCTTTAACTTTCTAATATTTTAATTTTAACGAACATTTGCAGAAATATCTGTTCTTTCTAGAAAGTGCTAATTATGGTATTATACAGTTATGGTCTTTACTCCTCTTCTTTCCACAAACATTTATTAAATCAGCACACAGTTTTGTTCTTTACTTCTGATATCCTGTGAATTTATATTTCAAACCCAACAGACTACTTTAGATGAATTTTTCTTTCCAATCATGATTTTTTCGTCTACAAACTTTAATCCGAAATCTTTCTTAAAAGCACCTAATCCAGATTGGCGCGATTTGTTGGTTCTATGGGTGAATAAGTGTACGAGACTGTCACCATATAATGGCCTTGAAGAGTCAAATTCACATTAATCTTAACTCCTACCTTCAACATTTAAAACTCTGTTTCTCGTACTAGATTATATCATATCATTAGATCAGAAGACAACAACCTTAATTTCATGCTTAGTAGGCAAACACATTAGAAAGTGTTCCTAACGTAAGTCCGAGGTATTGTCTCCTTTGACATTTATTGGACCGTCACGATTTTATCCTTTAAAAGGCGTATCGGTAGGTTAAGGAGGGAGGGTATTTATAAACTAAACTTAGTCTCAATTCCTAAGTGATGCGAGACTTTTAGGTATACCGGAACAAGCCCCCTCAATCGCAGTCGATGCTAAGGGAAAAGTCCCCTAGTGCTAAATGTTCCTACCATAAGTTCGTTAGGGTCACCGTATTCGAGATATTGTCTGCTTAGGTCGACGTTAGGCCGTCACGGTTTTGTAAAAGCATTATCAAAAATGATTTAGCATGGTTCCTACTTAGTGCTACTTGGCAACACCTTTTAAGCACGATGCATTTATAACTGTTCTTTGGCTTTTGTTAACATTTACAAACACTGAATTTAGGGGTGTGCAAAAAAACCGAACCGAACCGAACCATTTATTTTTCATTTTTAGGTCAAAGGGTATTTTAGTCTTTTAGGAGGAAAGGAACCCACACCACATCTAGGGTTAATTTAGGGTTCATTTGAGTGAATTTGGCTTGCATTTCTCGACTAAGCACCTCCAAACGCAACCCTAGATGCTTTCCTTCCCCTATAAATACCATAGGTCACCCACTGATGGTGTCCCTCCTTCCATGGTTGATGATAAAGTTGAAGGGAGAGACCTTGCCCTTGATCTAGGCTCACCAAAGAGTAGACAAATGGTGATATATGATGGGAAAAGGAAGATAGGCGTGAACAAAGAGTATGGTGGCAGAAGTGTTTTAGGGTGTGGTGTAGGGTTGCTCACGGTTGGCTCACTCCAAGTGTAGGTGGAGGCCACTCTAGGGTTTCACTCTCCAAGGGTGGAGAATGAAGGGGGCTAGCCGAACTAACCTAGGGACTAAGGATGGGATTTGAGGCAAAGAAATGCTCTCTCAAATTCATATAATCCAAAGTATTTACAAGGTGTGGAGGATGACCTTGTTGGCTGCTTCAGCTTGGCCATTGGTTTGGGGGTGTTCCACCGAGGTCGGGAGATGTTTGATACCGAGCTCGCAGAGGAAGTCCTCGAATCCCTGTGCTATGAATTGCCGGCCGTTGTCAGTAATGAGGGTGTGAGGGATTCCGAATCTGCAAACAATACTCCTCCAGGTGAACCTTTGCACATTTTCGGTGGTGATTTGGCGAGTGGGCATGCCTTGATCCACTTGGTGAAGTAGTCGATCGCCACTAGGAGGAACTTGAGCTGACCTTTCGGAGGGGGGAATGGCCCGAGGATGTCCATTCCCCACTGTGAGAAAGGCCATGCTGACATCATATGGTGGAGAACTTCGGGCGGTTGCCGGTGTGTGTTGCCGAACTGCTGGCATTCTCTGCATTTTTGTACGTAGTCCTGGCAATCTGATTTCAAAGTGGGCAGTAGTACCCAGCTCGGAGTGCTCTGGTCGCCATTGAGCTGCTCCGGAATGCATGCCACATATGCCCCGATGGATTTCCTCGATGACATAGGCCGCCTGAGTCGCGGTCAAGCACTTGAGCAGTGGCGTGGAAATGCCTCGCTTGAATAGCTCATCCCCGATAATTACGAATTTGGCCGATCTCATCCTTACTTTCCGAGCTTCGTCCTTATCCTCGGGCAAGGTTCCTTCTTTCAAGTAACTCCAGATGCTTGTCATCCACCCCTGGTCTTCGCTGTCGCTGGCATTGACGACTTTGTTGTCCAGGCTAGGTGAGTGCAAAGTCTCCTGAATGATAGTCTGGTGCTGTCCAAGCCTTTTGGTGCTGGCGAGTTTTGACAGGAGGTCGGCTCGGGCATTTTGTTCTCGCGGCACATGTTGTGTGGTGAACTCGTGGAAGGACGAGATCTGATGGGATGCGATGTGGAAGTACCATTGTAGAAGAGTATCCTTTGCCTGGTACGTCCTACTGAGCTGCTCCACCATGAGCTTTGAGTCGCTGTTGCAACTCACTCTTCGGGCTCCGAGATCGCGAGCCAGCCTCAGTCCTGCGAGAAGTCCTCGTACTCCGCCTGGTTGTTGGTTACCTTGAAGCTGAACTTGAGGGATTGCTCCAAAATGACCTGGTTTGACCCTTCCAATATGATACCTGCACCACCGCCCTGAATTGACTGAAAGGCACGTATACTTTGGGAGAGTAAAGAAGCATACCGTTTCAACTTCCACGAGTTTGCTGTGTCATGATTCATGAAAACTAGCTTTATCCTCGTCACACAGTACCCTTCAAAGGCAACCTTCTAGTTCTAATTGATTATACAATTCCCCTTGTGTGAATACCCAGTATTAAATCCCACAACATGGGAATCTCTACCCTTTAAGTAACCTTTGTTCCAAGCAATTCTTTCACACTTCCTTTCTTCTTCCCAAATATTCCCTAAAGAACATAAAATGTAATTCCAAACATAAGAGTCTCTTGTATGAATTGTGTATCTTCGGAACTCAAAAAAAAAAAAAAAACCCACGGAAAATGGCAGTCACACATGCTGACCTTGAACCAAGTCGAGGAAAAACGGATTTGAGTAGCAAAACAGGTGTCTTACTTATGGTTCTCACAATCCTATTGGGCCTATTATGCTTCACTCTTTGTCTCGTAGCAGAAGCCACACGTTCTCAGGTACTAGTTTAGTTAGAGCATGTTTAGATTCACATGGATGTTGGTTGGTTGTGGATCAGGAAGCAACAATTAATTGCTTTTACATCAGTTTTGAAATAACAATTAGTTGTTTTTAAATTAATTTTGATGTGATTCCTGTCTAAACGGATAATGAATGTGGAACCAAATATGCACTTATTATATCTGAATATTACCAATGTATACCGGTTACTCCCAAAATATTGAAAAGAAATGTGCATTTCATAAAGTTTGCAATCTGGTGGGGTTGATATGATAGGTCACGTGGATGAGCACAGCTGAAAATGGAAAGGGAAATAATAAATCTGAATGTGCGTACAGTGGTAGTGGGAAAATGCCATTGCTATGCGCTGTTTGTGCTTTCATTGCACTAGCAATTGCTATGCTGGTGGAGCACACTTTTATGCTCATCGCAGTTAGTAATTCGTCACCTGTATTACTCGCCTGGGATCCTGATTCTGCTTCTGCCAAATCGTTATCATGGCAAGCTGGAATTTTCTTCACTACAACTTGGTAAGGAAATGACATAAATTATGTTGTTTTTCACCAAAGTTTGGAGAAATTATTATTGTATGGTCTGATAACACCACTTATTATAATGGTCCTCGTTCATTTTTGCATGACATGCTAACCGAAATTTATTAATTCTTTCTTATATGTTTAAAAACTAGACTACATGTCACATAGAAATGGTCAACACTATAAACACATGATAGTCCTGAATTATACAATAATTTTTTTGTTTTATAGTAAAGTTTATCGAAGTTTTCCTAAATTAAAATGGAAACTTCTCACTAGTGCTAATCCAACTATATATGTATATATGTTGTGAAGATTCAACCAAACTCTGGACCAAATTGAATTAAGATCAATAAATAAATGTGTATAAGCTATTAGCATTGAACACAAGTGAAAACATGTCACTTAAACATAAACTGTTAAATCATGGTATGTGTTGTAGGATTTGCTTTGGAGTCGGGGAGATTCTGCTTTTGGCAGGAGTGAGTGTAGAGTCAGGCCATCTGAAGAATTGGTCCAAGCCTAGATCAAGTTGTCTTACCATCAGGCAAGGCTTGTTCTGTGCTGCAGGGGTGTTAGCTTTAACCACAGTCTTTCTAGCTTCTGCTTTATACCTAACGGCACTACGTGCCATAAGAATATCACGGGAGCAAGAAAATGTTCGACGGGAGGTGCTTATGACTTCTTCCCTCCATGCTTCTTCACCAAGAGCACCTCAACCACATTTCACCACTGTTTCTAGGGAGAACCCCACCCCTGGCGCGATGAAGGAAAATCCCGGGAATTTTGTGACGTTTGGACATTTTATCTTCCTTAACAACCCAATTCAGGGGAATTCGTCATAGGAAAAAGTTAATTCTAGGTGTTGGATAAATCCAAATATTAACTTTTTTATATTATTTTTGAGGTTACCATGTTATGGGCGATAGCTGTTAAATTCCATTGTGGCCCATGATTTTATGTTTCAAATCTTGTTTAGCGATTTTTTCTTTGAATCAGATTTGTCTATATTTGAAGCGACAATATTAGTTTGAGTGCTTGGAATATCGGATAGAACAATATTAATTTTTTTTAATATAATTTTATGAACTTTATATATTTGTCCACGTAAAAATAGAAAGATAATTAAAAAGGAAATATATATATATATATATATATATATATATATATATATATATA